AAGAATTAAATTTAATAGATTTCCACTGACAAAACTTTCCTCTTGACCTTATTCGGGTAAATAAAATAAGTGAAAAAATGGGAGAGTTTCATTTTTGGAAAAATATCCCATGCATAAGTCTTTGATAACATTCACAATCACCTTCCTGGAAATCTTTCTTTTCCCTGTTAAATTATCACCCAAGTTGTTTCTGTGGGTGATGGGGTCCCGGATGGGTTTCTAGATTCTTGTGCACAATGAACAAAAAATTGGATGTGACGTGATGGTAAGGAAAAAGCAGCAAAGTTTAATGAAGTTTAACGAGGCAGTGAGTGGTACACTTAGAATGAGCAGGCACATGATGGTAAAAAGAAGAATGGCATGAGCACTGAATGTGTTGAGTTTAAGAGTTTAAAATGTTACCGGAGTCTAGGGCACCTCCCTTTGGGTCTTCCAGAGTGTGATTAACAACATGATTGACAGGGTGCTGAGTCATGTCCACTGTATCTGTTGCACCTGTCCTTTGCCATAATTCACTCTGTTATAATTGGATATGTGAAATGCAGTCCATATACAGGAACTTTCAATGAGCTCCAAGTGAAAAAAAGTTATTGAAGGTTGAGTCAGAGAATCTGGCACACTTGAGTCCTGGCTTGGGATTTCAGAATTTTGCCAGGCAGGCCCAAGGGTCTTTATTTTTCTTATCTCTGTCTCAGGGTAGTAGGCCTTAGAACAATGATTAGGGGATTGGCCCTGGGGCATTGCCCAGGTTGGGGTGAGTGAAGGGGAATGATCCCGTAACCCCGGTTGCACTATCTGCATCAAAGTCAGATCACCATGGATCTCATCCCACTCTCCTTCCTTCATTCTGAAGTAAGATAGAAGAAATAAAGATAAATAGAAAGACAAGGAAAATCATAATTTTAAAGTTATTCTTTTTAAAGGGACTGCAATGCTGGCTGTGGTGGCACACATCTGTAATCCCAGCACTCTGGAGGCTGAGGCAGCAGGATCACCAGCCTGGGGTACAATAGTGAGTTCAAAACCAGCCTGAACTACATAGTAAGACCACATATATATATATATATATATATATATATATATAGTCACTTCATGAGGACCTACATTTCCTTCTGAGTGTGTACTTTAATTGTGGTTAATCTTTCTATGTCTCTCATTGACATGTCCTGAAATTACTTTTCTGTGATGAGAGTCAAGAGCCTTTGCAGCAGGTTCCCATCTCTTTGGGGGAACTCCTCAGACCCTGTCTGCCTTTGACCCCTCAGTTCATTTGAGGTAAATACTACTGAAATGACCCATCTCTCCTTTGGTTCTAATGAAACAGACAAGCTTCACAGAGGCAGGTACATCCTGGCCTCACGGACTCCAACCCGGTGGCTCAGTTTCCACTTGTGATGGACAAGGCATGTCACTTTCTTCTTTTGCCCTGCAGATCTCTTTCCATTCTCCCTCTGTCATGCTCAAGAATTTGCAGAATGTTAATATCTTCCCCAGATGTCCCACAATTGTGCCAATTTTATGTTTAAAAATACTCTTTTATTTCCTTAATCCCATTAAACAGATTTATGACTTAACATTTCCTCAATAGCAAAACTTGCAGGGGTTTTAACCAAGGAAAGTGAGTTAAATCACTGGCAATTGTCTGTTGCAACAAGATTCTTAAACCTTGAATGAAAGGGGCTGGTTGAGAGTTTCCCTGTGTGCCTGGGGATGAATTCATTTGTGCCACCTGCCCCAAAGCTATGACATGGCTTGAGCAGGGAGAACACTGGGGTTTGTGAGCACATTGTTTTGGAGAAGGACAGCATGGCAGGAGGTCGTTATTTAATAACCAGTTGCCTTCTGAGCTGGAGAGTTAATCACTACCATTAAGTAGTGATCGCTCCAGGTGAGAAGATGAGAAGGGCTTCACATTTGCAAAAGTTTGGAAGTCAAAAAGCTAATGGGCTGATGCCGTGGAAGCTTGACAAGAATGCTGTTTTCCATTCCAATTGCATTCCAGCCTCATTGCCTTGCTTTTTGGGTTGAATTCTATTTTTCTAAATGGAAATTTAAACAAAACGACTATATATCAGGAGACAGGCCCTCGCTGGGTTTTATCTGTCCATCATGTTTGAATTTTTTTTTACAATAATTCTGTATAATTTTTGTAATTATAAAAAGCAAATGACATTTTGGAAAACAAAAGAAAACAGTTTGTGTTTTCATTCTTGCTTTTTGTGGAGTTCAGTCTTCTGTGGCTAGCAGTAGGAGCTCAGGGTTCAAGGATGTTTATCCAATTGTGGTAAACAACAGCAGATTCTTGCTTGTCCTTTCTAACTCTATGAAAGCTGAGATCCATGAAGACTGTTTCCAAGTAAGAGAGCAAAATTAAAAACAACAAAGAAGATGGAGATGAAAATCATCATCATGTCAATCCCACTAAGCATTTGTCTCTCAGTTCCCGAAACCACTCAGCACACTCGGCCAGAAATTAGCTCTGGTATTAAAAGCCACAGAATTTGACACACAGGGTGGGTGGGCATGGTACGCTTGGTTCAGAGAGGGGTAAATTCAGTGGATTCTGGCTCTGAGACCCCTCCATTCAACCTTAATCACCTGGAGAGCTTTACAAAACACTGATGTCTGGGTCCACCCCCATGGATTCTGATACGATGGGTCTGGATGAGGGCCAGGTGCTTCTATTGTGCAGCAAAGTCTAGAACCTTCACTCGGCTCCTCCCCATTCCCACCCCCTGCCACTGTCAAAGCCCTCCTTAAACCCTAAGAAGCACTGAACTGGCCTCAGCAACTCCTGCCCAGGTTCATTGCAATCTCTAAAGGGGTCTCCTTTTCTCTTCTCACCAATCTCAGGAAAATCTCCATATTAGAATGGTTCTGAGTAAGCCACCAAAGCATAAAAATTATTTTGAGCCGAAGGAATTTGAGTTTCTGAAATTCTTTATCTGCTTTAAAAGCAGGATTCCCAAACAACTCAATTAGTATAAATTCCCTCCCCAGAAGCAACTGTAATATCCTCTCCTCTGAGACAATAAATCAGCACCACACCCAAACAGACATGGTCACAAAACCATCAGACCTCCCATTTATTCTCCTAAGGGCATATTTATTTTTCAAAAAGAGGCATTTATTTTTCCATAAGTGCCCTTTTCCTTCTCTTCTAAGAAGTTGTTTTCCCAGAATCCCCCGTTTATCACTCCTTAGTCCCTATTAAGATGGGATAAAAGCCCCAAATTCTAACTGCCTCCTTCAACCACATTTGTTTGTGAGGTCTTGTGCATCTAGATGTAATTAAATCTGTTTTTTTTGTTTTTCTTGCTAATTTGTCTTTTGTCAGATTAATTTGCAAACCTTAAATACTGAACCTACGAGTATAAAGGAAAAGTTTCTCCTTGACACTGTGCACATGATCATGTCCAGCTGATGCCTACGGAATAAAGTGTGAACTCCTTAACATGGCAAGAAGGATACTGGTAACTAGACCTTGCAGGCCTCTCTAGACTTCCTGTGTGTCCTGGTATTCTTGAAACCTAGCCCTTCCAGCCACATTCAAAGCCCTTTCATGAATCTTCTCCCCATAAATACTCTTGTCTTTCTTGCTTTTCTCCCCTGCTGATTTCTCATTCTTCAAGACAAGCTCCAATTTTGCCCTATCCAGGATAGCCATCATTATCTTTCAAAAAATGAGTTTTTAATGCATCAGGGATATAAGAGGCTGGGCCTGCAGATGCCCAATGGGTGAGAGAAAACAGGATAAAATTTGGCATCTCTGCTTTTGTTTTATATATCCATTATTACCTTAAAACTTTGGGTCAGATCCCTGCTAAACTCTGCATGTAGGCATTATGTTAATCACTTAAAAATGCCTGAACTATATGGTTTATTAACCATAATTTATCTAGGCTATCTCTTTCCCCTGCAAGACTGAGGACACCAAGATGAGAGTAACTAAGGTAGTTTTAAGGATTTGTAGGTACATTCAATTGCCCACTTTTACAGCGTCCAGTTCCAAAAGCCTGGAGTGATGACTGAAAGTTTCATCCCAAGTTACCTCAGATTCCAGGAAAAGTAGAACCTTGCAAAGCACCCTATGATGAGTTCACCCCCAACCAAAGTGGAAGCAATTACTGCATGACAGAACTAAGGCTCCTTCCTACCCCAAGCAGGAGCTGTCATCTTGTTATGGGAAAAATAACTCCCAACCTGTTAGATGTCAGATTGTTACTGGGTTTGAGGATGCTGGAGGCTCCTTCTAGAGGTGGTTTCTAGGTTCTTTCTGTCCTTAACAAAGAATTGTTAACAAGACAGGTACAAATGGCAGCAAGGTTTTACATTTATTAAAGGTGGGGGGGGGGGTCAGGCTCTGCAGAGTGAGTTTGGGTTTAGTAAAAGAAGGAAAATAAGTACTCTATACAAAACGAGATTGGGCTACAGTGAAAGAACACAAAAAAGCTCAATGTTGACTGTCTTTTTGTATTTCTGAGTTTTAGGCTGGCATCAGGTCCAGGCCATTCTATCAAAACTCTGCTCAAGTTCTCATGAGAAGTCCACATGCAGAGCTTTGGGAACTGTTCTGTGCTTGGGATTTTTTAATTAATGTGTCATGCCTACTTTTCCAGATTGCATTGCCATGCTCTAGTTTCCTGCCTCGTTTCCCCCTGAGAGACACATATCCCCATAATTCTTTTTTTTTTTCGTAATGAGGATCAAACTTAGGTCCTTGCTCTTGTAAGACAGGCAGCAGAATTGCTGAGCTAAATCTCCTGCCCTTCCTCATAATTCTTTATGGAGTGCTGAAATAGTGGAGGTCTCTGTCTTCATATAGCTAGTACTTCCTGCTGAAATGAGCTATAGTCCCTACCTACTGGCAATTACGTGCTGTCTGACTACCTTGTGGCTCACTGGTTGGGTTGAAGAAAAAAAAAACCTGTCAGGAGGCAATGAGAGAAGAGTATTTATACATGCCACATATTCAATGGGAGAAAGCTTGGTGAATTTGTCAGGAGAGTAACTTTACTATTAGGTTGGGGATGTAGAGCCCAAATATGAGAAGAATCAGGTCAGATTTCCATGCTTCCTATAGAGAAGAAAGCACAACAAAGAGAGACTTTAGATAAATTATAGAGGGTGTGAGAGCTGTAGTCTTAGGAAGATTACCCATATTATGGATTAAGTTAAAAATAGGAGTCTCAATATAGGTGCCCATTTACTTATCTGTACCCAGAACAGTACTGTAGTCTTTTTTTTTTAAAGAGAAACTTCAGGTCTTTCAGAGGTTCACAGGAGTAGCTTTCTTCTTTTGGGTGGTCTTTTTCATCAGACAATTCAAGTGGGGCTGGCTTTTTCTTACAAAGGTGAATCCAGCTATCTATCTCTGCCATGTTTACTGCAGTGGGTATGGCAAGGATCACTGAATTGGTCTACAGGAATCCCTTCTTTCTAAGTTTTAATAAGCATTATGTCTCCAGGGCAGACACTTGACAAACCCCCTGGGCCAGGAGCTGGCAGGACTCTGTTTCCATGTAGTTGGATAGATAACTTGCTGTACTTGGCTTAGTTTAATAAAATTTTGTAAGAGTCTCGTGGTTTCTAGGTCTACTGCCATCAGAAGATAGAAAAGGCCTCCCATATAACATCTCAAATAAACTCATATTTAGCCCAGTTATGGGGATGTTTCAAACCCTCGTGAGGGGTAGTGGTAATAACTGAACCAAGACTCAGATGTCTTTTGTCAGCATTTTACCAGAGCTCACTTTAAAGTCTGGCTAGCTCTCTTAATTTTTCCAGAATGAGTTGTCCATGCACAAATCTTTGCCACTCCCTGAGTTATTTGAGGGGGAAAATAAGGCCTATTGTTACTCTGAAATAACTGGTAGACCAAACCAGGGAATTTTGTTGAGGAGTACCTTAGCCTTTTCTGAATGGGTAGGGAGGGCCTGAATCTAGCCTATAAATGTGTCAATTAGGACCAATATGTTTAAATCCCCTACATGGTGGCATGTGGGTAAAGTCTAATTGCCAGTCCTCCCCAAGGTATGTCCCTCTCTTCTGTACAAGTTCTAACAAAGGAGGTGGTTTGGTCTTGCCAGGGTTATTGTAGGCACAAAGTGGGCAAGATTTGCAGACCTGTTAAGTGGTTATCACTAGTTCTAGTCCTGAAAATATTTGAGTGACAATTTCCAGTGTAGCATCTCTTTCCATATGGAAAGAATTATGAGGGGTTTTTATAGCCTTCTACTTTGTCTCTTGAGGAAGGACCAGTTTGTTTTCTAAATATAACCAGAGTCCATTTTTAATTCCCCTATGTCCTAAGATATATTAATCTTCCTGGAGGATATAGACTGGTTTTAATGGTTCCTTAGGAACTGGGAATAATGCTAGGGTCTTGGCTGCTGCCCCTTTGCTTCCCAATCAGCCTTTTGATTTCCTAATGAGACTTTAGACATGTCTATTTGGTGTCCCTTACAAGGCATGGCAGTGACCTGCTTGGGAAAATAGACCGCCTGTAGGAGTTGCAGAATTTCCCACTTGTGCTTTATTGATGATTGCTTATTAGTTAGCAAGCCCCTTTCTTTTCAGATTGCTACATAGCCACGTAGCACCAGAAAAGCATATTTGGAGTCTATAGAGATATTTAGGTTTTTGTTTTTTCCTAATATCAATGCCCAAGTAAGAGACATGAGCTGTCTTTTGAGCTGAGGTCCCTGGTGAAAAGGGTTCAGCCTCAATGACCAGTTGGAAACTGACAACTGCATAACCTGCTTTTCAGTGTTCTTCTTGGACAAAGTTACTTCCACCAGTAAACCATACCTCCTCAGGGTCTTGGAGGGACAAGTCACTGATGTCCTGGCTGCTTGCATTGGTCTGGGAGATCACTTGTTCACAAGAATGGCTAACTTCTGGGGCTGTAGGGATAAAAGAAGTGGGATTAAGAGTAGTGCAAGTCTTTATCATAACCTCAGAAAATGACCTGATACTTGGTAAAGACCACTACCTGATACTTGGTAAGCCATTCCCTTGTTAATCACAAGTAATCTTTTATCTCAAGAACAGCCCTGAACTAATGGGGATTAAGACTTCTAGTTTTTATCCCAAAGTTAAGTATGCAGCTTCTTCTGCCATCCACAGCCACACTGACTTTTTTGAATAGTATGGCACTGGGCAGAGTTCTTTTCCTAGTCTTTGGGCCAAGACACCCAAAGCAATTCTTCTCTTTTCTGATATGTAGAGGAAGAAGGGTTTTCTTCAGTCAGGAATTCCCAGTGCTGGAGCCTGAGTAAGGGCATATTTTATTTTTCTAAAGGCTTTGCCAGTCACTTTTGTCTATTCTAAGGGCACAGACTCTGGATCATTGACAGTCTCATACAAAAGCTTTGCCATTAGTCCTACACTAGCTGACTAGATCTGGCAGAAGCTGGCCATTCCCAGGGAGGAACAAAGCTGTTTTTGGGTGACAGGAGGCCTAAAATTACAGATAGCCTAGACCTGGTCCCTCAACAGCTGTTGTTCCACAGATATAAGACTGTATCCCTTGCTGGGGATTTAGCTCAGTGGTTTGGCGGCCTTCTGTGCAAGTGCAAGGACTCAAGTTCAATCCCCTGTACCAAAAAATAAATAAATAAATAAAAATGTATCCCAAGTATTGGACTTTCTGGAGATATCTGAGATTTTTTTTTTTTTTTTGTAATGGGAATCAAACTCAGGGCCTCATGCTTGCCAGGCAGGCACTGTGATGCTGAGCTACATCCCTGGCCCAAGATTTTTTCTGTGAAACTTTATTTCATTTCTAACAA